TATGCCACACTATATTATTGGCAGTTGAAAGATTAATGATTATGTTTTGCATGGTATCCTTAATCAGATTTAATAATATCAGTAGTTACAAAACAGACCAATCACAGTCATTCAATTCTTCAGAAGAATAGCTATAATTAACTAGTGTTCCTGTAATAATATAGGAACACTATAATTGACCAGTTTTATTATTATGCATGTCATTAAATCCTATACTAATGTTTTCATTAATTAAATTTCTTGTTTTTTAAAAACAAGAGATTTACTGGTTAAAGTTCCTTTCTTATTGTGTTTATTTTTACATAGTACAATTTTGATTTTAATTGTATGTCATTTGCCATTAATATTTTATTAATGCTTCCATGTAAAATGTTTTTTAGGCTGCACTGCGACGGGCCAGTGCCGTACTGCGATCACAGAAACCTCTTCCCACTAAGAAAACACGAACTACTAAAAAGACCGATTAATTTGTATATTTTATTAAATATACATTGTAAATTAAAATATCTATTATGGACGACATATTCTGTAAAGTAATTGTGCTCTAGCTTAGTAAAATTTTTTTGACATTATTTACACTTGATTTAAAAAACTTTGCTGTTCACCATTATTTTGCAGATATGCCATATTTTTATAAGAAAACAAAATAAATACACATTTCAACAAAATAAAAGTATATTTTAAAATAAGCATTTAATTATATTAGTTATAAGCATCTTCTTAGGTAAGCATTTTATGTTATATAAATTAACGCTTCTTTTATTAGATTGCGATTTAGGTCTTATATTATGGAATTTTATTTTTAGATTGAAAGGAGAATCAGCACGTGCTTCTTTTGTGATTGATCTGCAAAAACTAATTTTTAATTAGGTAAATTTTATTTATTAAGTTTATTTTTATTCTTTAAATTAATTACATTTATTTAGTTTTTTATTTGTTATGTAATATCTCTTGCGCGCATGCACTCACTCACAAACTTTGATATATTTATGAATGCCATGATTTTTAATTTGCTACTTCTGATTTAAAACTCAATAAAAAAAATATATTGTTAATATTATATTCACATAATAAACATAGAATTTTGTTTGATTGTCAGGTTTGTAAATCCCTGGAAAATCGACAATTAAAGGTAATTTTTATTTATCTTTTTTTTTTTCATTTTGTAATAGAGGAGTCACCGATACTGACATAGATTTCCTAAAGAGGCACCTCCTTGTTTCTCAGAAATTAACTATTGAATTTTATTAATACTGATAAAAACATAATTTTACAAAATCAAGATTTATATTTATTGCTTGTTTCTACACAAAATCAACTAAAAATGAATTCTACAAATGCGAAAATAAAATTCTTACGTTTTTGTGAATTGTGCAGTTTAAATAATGGTTATATTATTGATAATATTACATTGTTTTTTACATGTATATAGATTCTTAAATCAATTTTATTTGTTTTTTTATATTTTTTTAATAATATATTTTAAATATGAAATCGGTCTGTACACACAGCATAAATCAACACACCTGTAAAACAGATAATAATTCATAAGCTAACTTAAAGCGTTTTTTACTGTAGCGGGTTTTAAACTGATCCGGGTTAGATTAATCACGCTGCAAGCTCTACTATTGATAGAGCATGTAACGTCAACCAATAGCAAAGTATCAATCTAACCGAGGTTTAAAACCCGTTACAATCGAAAACACTATTCTATATAAGCAGAGTCATAAAGACTTATATGGCCAGAATTAGACTATGCATTGAAGATTGAGATTAAAAATTGAAAGATTGAAATTTGACCAATCAAAACAAAAGGAGCTGTTTAGAATTCTGTTTAGAATTGATCTATTCATCTTTATAGTATTGCGTAGTGTCAATATGTAGCCCTATTGAAGTTGAAGGCAATCGTGTATTAATGAGAAAACCGTCAAAAAGTAACGCTCACATTACATGTTTGCGTCCTGTAGAATAGCACAAGGTATGCATATTAATCAACAGAAACTATTTTATATCGAAGTAAAAAGATTCTAGCAAATCTTATATATTACATTCACTTGTAGGTATTTTGTATAAATAATTTCTGAGAAAGAAAAAGGATAAGAATATGTGACATTACTGCCTATTTTGTCAAGTGCTCATTTTTGCTTATTTTATGAAAAAGTTAATTATTGCAAAATTGCAAACAGTATTATAAAAACTGTTATATTATCTGATAAAAGACACTTTTTAGTTTGTATTTATGTTTCTAAAATTTTATTTTTGGCTTTTGTTTTTTAAGAAATGTTCAAAAACAAAGTGGTGTGTCGGTATTGGTGACCTTTTATATCTATATATCTAAATGATGATAAATATCCACCAAATCTATGAATGCCATGATTTGTATATTTGCTAACTGATTATCCTTTACATTACTCTAAAATTTTAGATTTAAAAATAGCAGTCTTAATTAATACAATTATTTTATTATTAGGTTGCGAGTTTCAAGCGGAACATTTCTGTTATGAAGGTATTTATATACTTCATTTAAAAAAACGTTTCGGACGTACATTTGTTGCGTTTGGTTTGAAGCTTTTAGCTCTTCCATCCTTATTTTATGTCTAATGAAATGTTGACTTTATAAGCATTTAAAGTACGTGAGCGTCCAAACTGAAAACAGTCAATATTAGCTAATAATAGGGAATGGAAAGTTACTTTTTAAAAGTAACAAGTTACAATTACTCGTTACAGTTACCGTTATTTGAAAAAGTAACTTTTTGTTACATTTTGAAAATCGACCATCACTAATCACAGCGAACTAGGAGTTTACTAGTCTCATGCACTATGAGTGGCTTATGTCCAATCGTGTGCAAAGTAACGATAAAAATACCTGTAAAATTCGTTATCGTTATAAAAAGATGTAACTATGTTATTGTTACAGTTACCAAAAAAAGTGACGCAATATCAGTAAAATTACCAAAAAAGTAACTTGTAACTGTAACTTCGTTACAAATAACGAGTTACTTCCATTATCTAGTTAATATTAAATGCTATATCATTGTATAAAGAGGATGATAATTATATAACCATCAAGATCTATGAGTGCTATGATTTATATAGTATTTACTAACTGATTATCATTTACAATAGTACAAAATTCAAATAAAAAATAATGTTTAACTAATACAATTGTTTTATTATTTATAGGTTGTTCGCGAATTTTAAACGATACAGCATTCGCGGAGATTATAAAGGTATTTATAATTTTTTTATATTGCATCGCGTTTTGAATTATATTTTAAATAAAATTATGTCATTGTAATCACCAAGATCTATAAACGCTGTGATATTTCAATTTGCTACTGACTTAATAATTTTTAATATAAAATATAATAATTTTATTTAACAAAAATCACGAAATTTTCCGTTTATCAAGTTTGTTAAATCCTTGGAAATTGTAATGAATCAACCAAGATTGCGGATAATGTTCATTTGTCATAATTTTTGTTTATTATGTATAATGCTATATCATTGTATAAAGAGGATGATAATTACATATCCACCAAGATCTATGAGTGCTATGATTTATATAGTATTTGCTAACTGATTATCATTTGTAATAGTATAAAATTCAAATAAAAAATAATGTTTAACTAATACGATTGTTTTATTATTTATAGGTTGTTCGCGAATTTTAAACGATACAGCATTCGGAGATTATAAAGGTATTTATAATTTTTTTTATATTACATCACGTTTTGAATTATATTTGAAATAAAATTATGTCATTATAATCGCCAAGATCTATAAACGCTGTGATTTCAATTTGCTACCGATTTAATGAATTTTAATAAAAAAATATAATTTTATTTAACTACAAACACGAAATTTTCCGTTTATCAGGTTTGCTAAATCCTTGGAAATTGTAATGAATCGACGAAAATTACGAATGTTCATTTGTCATAATTTTTGTTTATTATGTAATGTTATATCATTGTATAAAGAGGATGATAATTATATATCTACCAAGATTTATGAGTGCTGTGATTTATATAGTATTTGCTAACTGATTATCATTTACAATAATATAAAATTCAAATAAAAAATAATTTTTAACTAATACAATTGTTTTATTATTTATAGGTTCGCGAATTTTAAACGATATAACATTTGGAAATTGTATAAAGGTATTTATAATTTTTTTTATATTACCTCGCGTTTTGAATTAATTTTACATAAAATTATATCATTGTAATCACCAAGATCTAAGAACGCTATGATATTTCAATTTGCTACTGACTTAATAAATTTAATAAAAAATATTTTTTTTTTTTTAATAAAACAATCCTTATGGATAGTCGGCACGCTTTTATCTTAAGGATTTAGTACAGACATGAACCATGTCTACTTTCGACAATACGATTTTATCGATAGTGTCAAAAGATGTATGTAGTCACGTAGTTCCCAAACTGAAAATGGATGTATTGGCGATTTCGATGGTAATGGGAAAAAGGTCGGCATGGCCTCTCAGATTTCTCTCTACTTCCAATACTTCAGCTGCGTTCGGAAACATCACCTGGACACTCGCGTGTATCATCTTATCTTTGTTTAACATTGGGTGAACATAAGGATAAAATTAGGGATGCACCGAATCGTAAAATTACCGGATATCAGATATCCGGACAGAATGTAATATCGGATATCCGGTATCCGAAGAGGTAATTTCTTTGAATTGTATATTCGATCGGATTTCGAGAAACTGTCTTCTAAAAACAAAAAAAAAATGTAGAAAAAAAATTGTAATTTTTCAACAACGTATAAAATATTAATATGGCATTATGAATATGCATACTCATTTCTAAAACATTTGTATAATAACAAATCAACAATTTAACGACATAAAATTTCAACCGGATATATTCCTGGATACTAATGATATCCTGCTATCCGGTCGGATAGTAAAAAAGTACCGGATAATACCGGATACTTTTCGGATATCCGGTGCATCCCTAGATAAAGTGATACATGAGGACACTCGGGTGATATTTCCGAACGCAGCCTTCTATGATCATAGCCTTTAATCTGCATTAGTGGAAATGGGCATTAAGTGCGTACTCTCCAACCTTACGGGCCTATTCGTGGCGTGGTAAAAATGGAATAGAGCGAAGATAAGGTTAATTACAATTCTAATGGCAATTGTTTGTAGTATATAACAATGTACGGCTGGTGGAGGCTTCTCTAAGCCCGCATTTTGAGCTAGGCTCACAAGTGGGAACGTCTGTGACGAAGGTTATGGGATAATTGATACCATCGCCGAAGTTTCTCACTCACGAGGAGTATGGGGAACTTTGGGAGTGACATCGTGATATGGTACGTCTCATTCTTGGCTTTATCAAAAGCATAACCGCAACGGCGGTATCAGTTCTGTTTTTACAGTTGATGCGGTACAGCGACAAGCTAGTTCAATGCATAAGGCCGGTTTCACTCACGTTGATTACTTGATCGGCCGATTAACTCATCAGAATTGCCAACAGCAAGACTTGAAAATTTGTCTTAATTTCTAATCTATTCATGACGAAGGCAAAGTGTAATATGAATAATAAATTAGATTTTGAAATATAAATATATTTTGAGTATCTTTACAAATACGTATTTTGTAACAGATTTGTTGTCAAGAAATTGGGCTAGAGATGATAAGTTTTCAGTTTAGCATTTGGCAACCCTTAAATTTAATGGGTAAATCAAGTAACTGGCGTTTATAAGACTAGTTGCGAATGTCCTTATACATTAGACGGTTTTATAATTACATATGTAATTTTCATGTTTTTTTATCACTATATAATTAAAGAGAATACATTTGGTAGCTTGTTGCTACTATTTTCAGTCAGCGTCATATTTGGAACCAGTGAGATTATCAAATTGGTCATGAACAATGGAGAGGATATTCTCAAGATATCTACATATAATTGGATTATTCGATTATGTTTGAATTTATTGGGATATGCCACTGTGTTATTGCCAGGTTGTCTTATATACAAATATGTACGCTATATGAAGTACATTCAGAGAGGTGGTAAGTATCGATATGGAAAGAACAAATCAGGGTTGGTATATAATGTATTACTTGCAACTTCATTACTGTTCCAATTATATTTTTTTAAATAATGAATGGATAAGGACGTTACATTTCCATATGAGTAATGCAGTTATATTTTTTAGGAATTAATAATAATTTGAATAGTTATTTTTATTGTTACTTTATTTCTAGCATATAAATTAATTTCCAGCAAAATATTAATTGCTTATTATATTGCTTTTTATTGCGAGACAAGAATTTTAACACCCTGTATACAATCATTATACAGGATAACAATTTTTCTGATTTAACAGTTTATATTTTTTCCATCTGTGTTTTAATATAAATATATGAAAACATATTATAGAATAATGATAAAAAATCTCAGTTTTGTAACATTTATCTAGTTTTGAATCTTATTTCTTTACTAGAAGGCGGAATTTTGATATTTTTTATTTATATTTACCATAAAAATTTATATATGATATTCTATTAATATCAAGAAAAAAATAACGAAAATAGTAATGACTCGTTAGTTTTTAAGAGAGGGATCCGATAGCACATCGTTATCCTAATTAATCAATTTAAAATAAAATATTCTCATTGGTAAAGCAGTGAAAAATTACTAGGTCGATGTGAGTGGATGTATGGCTAAACGGGATCTTCCCGTTTATAAATAACAAGTAACGGTAATGAGTTATTTTTCAGAAAAATGAACGGTAATGAGTTTTATGAAGTAACTTTGCCAACTCTGGAATATAATGTTCCAAGGTATATTATAGTAGTTCAGAAGAATATATTTATGCAGGGAAAGGTTGTATTCCCAGACTGGTGCATTCGTGCTTTGTGGGACACTGTGAGACAGGTTTTTTGGATTCGCCAACTTATGCTCCTAATGCTTCCACTCACATTCAGCGTACTTTTGCTCAAGACGCTCTACTTTTGATATATTGTTTCCTTGGATTACAAATTAGTTATTTAACTTGGGGCTATCTACAGGAAAAGATAATGACGCAGGTAGTGGTCAAATTCCATCGATAACAAAAAAATATTTATAAAAAAAATGTACATATGTTATTACATTATTGGGATTATTAGTGTGATTAATAATTAGATGTAGTGTAACTACTAACCAGGAAGTAACATATTACTTGTAACATCGTTACATTTTTACAATAATGGATTCAGTCGTTATTGTAAAAATGTAATTAAACCAAAATAATACTGATTCATTTATACAGGAATACGAAGATGCTTCTGGTAGTAAAGCACGGTTTCAAGATTCTCAATTCCTGGTGTTCGTAAATCGCATTCTTGCTTTTCTGATGTCTGGATTATACTTACTTATTCAACGTCAGCCACAACATAAGACGCCATTGTATAAATATGCATTTTGTTCTCTATCAAATATCATGAGCAGTTGGTGTCAGTATGAAGCTCTGAAATACGTCAGTTTTCCATCACAGGTGAAAAATTACGATTGTATATCTTCTGATGATTTGCTGATTTCTCTACTCACTAACATAACTTTTATTTGTATGTCAAAAGCTATTTACATAAATGTTTCATAAATTATTCGTTTAGGTTTTAGCTAAAGCCTCTAAAATTATTCCGGTAATGGTTATGGGAAAAATAGTTTCGCATACGTCATACGAATATTATGAATATGTTACTGCGATTCTTATTTCTATCGGAATGACGCTCTTTATGCTGGACAGTTCTGATCATAATAAAAACAGTAATACTTTGTTAAATATGCAATGCATTTTAATTTCAACCAACATTATATTAATTTTATAAATATTTTCAGATGGAGCGACAACACTCTCCGGTGTTATTTTATTGGGAGGTTACTTATTATTAGATAGTTTCACAAGTACCTGGCAAAATGCACTATTTATAGATTATGGAGTAACTAGCGTACAAATGATGTGTGCAGTCAATATGTTCTCCTGTTTACTAACTGCAATGTCTCTGTTTCAACAATCGAGCTTTCCACTAATTTTTTCTTTTATGACGACGGTAATTAATTCGCAATACGCATATTAATTCCTTATAATATTGCTTACATGAAAATAGCATTAACAAATTTTATCGTACAGTATCCCAGGTTTATAATCGACTGTTTGCTGATTTCCATTTGTTCTGCAAGCGGCCAGTTGTACATTTTTTACACCATTTCGAAATTTGGATCCATTACATTTGTCATTATGATGACCATTCGTCAAGTATATAATTATTTCATATAATATCAATTTACCAAAAAAAGAATTAGGGCAAAAACACATGATAGATAAAGTATCGGCCGACTGTTGTGTTGTAAAACAAAATTGTATCATACCCATGAGCGTGGTTACATACGTTGCCAAGGACTTTCCATAAATGATAAAGTCGGCCGACACTATCGTGCTCTTGCTCTTAAATCCAGACTGTAATCCCGCATTTAATAATGTTTGTTACAGGGCCTGGCGATATTATTGTCGTGTTTGATTTATCATCACGAGATTACTGTTATTGGAGTGTTTGGGATATTGTTGGTATTTGGCTCAGTATTTTTACGAATTTATTGCAACAATCGATTACGAGTAATCAGAAGACGCAGAGCCACGGCGAACAGTATAAAACATTAAAAATTGTATTAGTTAGACAGAATTACAATCTTAATTGCCATAGAAGTAGAATTCTATCAACTGTTTATTATAATTGCTATGGATTAGGATAGAATTCTGACGTAGTAATTAGATATTGACTAATTATGGATGCTAAATTTTAATCCTTTATTTATAATTGACATCGCGTCGTAATCTCTCTTTCCATATACAGCATATACTATATATCGCGAATGTATATCCAATAGTTTGTGATAGAAATTTCAATCATGAGCTTCAAGAAATATTTGTATTTATAAGTTTTGTAGCCAATGTACGTCGCGTGTGTAATATATTTGGAAAAATATGTACTTGAAGATACATGTGATCTGACAAAAACAGCATTATATCTTTATGAAAAGAAAATTTGTGTTATGCCATATGTATGAAGGTGTACACACGTATTGTATTATTTATTTGAAAAATATTTATTTTGATATAAATGCATATACACAATAAATACATGCAAGTTTCTTACTATAGATGATTATATCCAATATAGAAGTAAGTATATATAATTCTTTCCTTTCTGTAGGACTTAAGCTACATATTGATCAAAGAAAGATAGAACATTTGTGTTTCCATTGGCTATTTTCATTTTGAAAATTATTTTGAGAACACGATAAAGATTTTTGAAATTGTAATCTTTTTTACCATTTTTTTTAGCCCAAAATGATATCTAGAGTTATTAAATTGTGACAGCATTTGCTAAGAAAGCTTTGCGATCTGTACAAATCTGTATTTACAAAATTGAAGGCTACAGGTTAATAGATTACACAAAGAAACAACGTCGAGTTCTTGAAATTAGACTTAGACGTCTAATTAAAATGCTATGTCGCTATCGTTCTACGAAAAGTTATGTATATGTATGCGTGCGACATTGATGTAGCAGTATGTAAAGATATGTTACATTTTATCAATGAAACAGCGATTTCGGAGTTCAGGCTTTAGGATTCTTCAAGGACTCGAGTAAGTAGCCATTTTAAATCAGAACGAATGCAAATAAAGTTTTGTATGTAGTGTACACACAAGAATATGTCCATCGACAATATATTTTGATAACAGATCGCTTTCCTCAAGGAATTCATGAAATATGTAATCCACCAATATTTCTCTCTTGAAGGCTCGATCTCGTTCACAATTTATACTGTCGCTTTTCTTCATCTTTTTTTCTTCTGATTGAAAATAATATAAACTAAAGCAGCAGTTGCAAAGAAATAGTCATTCTATTTATCTCGACACTATTGTTTAAATATGTAACAAAACTAAAATGTTCTACCCAATTGGGTTTATTTGATGGAGACAATTTGTTTTTTACTACCTAGTTGCCATAAATCGCTAGCTTTTAGCAACAATACAATGTTCTTCAATATCCTTTCGGTAGATACATAAATTTACAGATAATTGCTCAAATGAGAATATTTGTTTGACAGTATTTATAATTTTAATTACAGAAGTACAAATAGCATAAAAATCTTTTTGATGACTAGTCTTTATTTTTCACTTAAAATTTGTGGTAAAGTTGTTACACAGAATGGATTTATATATCAGGATTTAGGGAAAATAATCTAATTCTCTCCTGTACAGGATTATTTTTTACATGTAGAGATATAATAGAAATGGTACACAGCAAGAAAAGTCTTATTGCGTATCAAAAACAGTAGTGTCAAAAACTTTGATTTTGGCCTTAATGAATCAACGATACTCGGAATGAATTATTAAGCATGACAAGTGCAAAATATAGTCATCGTGCGACTAGAATATCAGAAACGATAACATTTAGTCATTTCACTGGAGCTGGCGGTCGATGAATGGCTATAAGGCACATGATTGCAATGACCACCTCGGACGCTAGCAGAACCAGCTGTATGCTGCAGAGAATCACCTCCAATCTGAGTACGTAGTACTGCCAGAGCAGGAAGTAGAGCGTCGCTAGTGAGCTGGGAATGGTCAGGACGATCCCGATGAGAATTGGTAGTCCACGCTCAGTTAGATTTCCTTTTCTTCCCAGATAAATCCTGCCGCTCTCCGTCACTATCAAGAAAAACAGAAGCGCGAACTCTGTCAGAGTCTTGCTTGCGCCCGGTGATGGCAAATTCGCAGCCTTGAATAGCCCCATGCCCAGCTCACATACGGCGAACATGCCGAAGTAAAAGGAGTTCAGATACATGAGAATTTCGTAGGTGAGTGAGGAATTCACTACGGTGGGCATTATCACTCTTGAACACTGAAACCAGAATCCTTCCGATCGCTACGAAAGGGAGAAAACGGTACGATAGAAACTTTCAAGTTGTCTGTTGTCTCTACGAATAGACACACAGTGATACAGTTGTCCAATACACGGTATGATGCGTCATTTACAATACACGGAGTAAGAAGTAAGAGGAAGAAATTGACCAATCACAGTTGAGTATTCTTCTCACATTCGACTGTCGGTAACGAGTTACTTTTGCAAATCAATAATGAGTAACGATAACGAATTACTTTTTAGGAAAAAGAACGGTAACGGTAACGAGTTATTTTTATAGGGTAAACATTGCCGACTTCCTCAAATAAATACACACACACACGATTTCACTCTGCTTAAAGATTCTTTTTTTTTTTTTCTGAAAAGGCAATATATATTGGGCCTGTTCTTTTTGTCTGAACTTTTGCACCAGTTCATCTTTCTTCCTCTTCTTTCCTTCCGGAGAGAAAAGAAAGAAAGACGAACTGGTGCAAAAGTTCAGTCAAAAAGAACAGGCCTATAGTTACATATTTAAACTCGATATTGAAGAAGATTTATACGGTAGCAAGTGTTCGATTGAATTCATCATTATAAATTTTGCAAAAAATTATACTCTATAAATTTAGTATATGACTGCGTACCGCCTTTTTCTTTTTAGAAAAAATGAATTAATCTTTCGCAAATAGAGTAAAATCATTCCCCTCCCCTTGAAGTGACATTAATCGATATCTATTGTGGAGTTTCACTCAATAATTGGAGTAAATTTTTCAATTCTTTGCAATGATAAAATTCACTCCAATTATTTTGAATGGATTTTCTCCATTCCCACCTTGCAGTAAAATTCACTGCAGTAGTACTGCAGTGGCTCAACTGTTCCTAACGTCTGCAGGAATGAAATTTCAATTCAGTGCAGTGAAATTTCACTGCTAGCAATTGCGCCTACGTATGAGCGCGAAGGGTGAAAATCGCGGATGCAATTCCGCCAATCTCGTCCGTACTCCGTAATAATTAAAAAGCGGCCGAAGAGAAGGCGGGAAACGTGATGCGTCACTCCGAGTCCAAGTCCGCGGTTGGTGCGCGGCGGCGCGCACTGCGCAGGACGACGCAGCATCAGCAGGTTATCGTGTTCGTTATGTTACATCTCCCGTGGCGGCAGCAGCACAGCTTACGTAACGTATTCGTATAGTTGTAGTGCGCGCACCATTCGCCGCGTTGCAACGCTTGCCGCAGTTCCGTGGAACTTCGAAGGGTTCCAGAAGCATCCGTCCGATTCGATCAGTCGAATTTTTCGCGGGTTGGCAAAGAGGACACGGACACGGACAGGGTTGCGTGCTACTATACATATATATTCGGTTTACTCCAGTTTCCTCCGCCACTGCTGAAACTGGGGCTGCTAGCTGAGGACTGACGACGGAAGGAAGAGAGACAGATAGAGAAACTGCGCGCGCACGAAAAGGAAGGAAGGGAAAGGCAAAGGAAGAGACGGAGGCGGAGTATATAGCCGTGGGTCAAACGCAGTTAAAGGGAGCAAGTTAGACGGAGACGCAGCGAACCTAGAGAAGAGGTGTATGTACATCAGTGTACGTGTGCTGTGCGAGGGCAGCGCGAGTATCAACCAGCTGGTTGGCAAGGGAGCCGCGAGGCCTCGATCAGTCGCCAGTGACTGTGAGACGCAGTGAGACGCAGTGAGACGCAGTGAGACGCGGCACCTCGCGCGAGCGCGTGTGTTATTTGTTCGTGCGCGCTCGCGTATCCCAGTATTCCTAGTGCGGATTTCTCCACTCGTGTGCCCGCCGCTTACTGTTGTCTCCTTCTTTCTCTCCCTCGTTCCGTCGTCATCACTGCACGTACATTCATTCGTTCGTTCGTTCGTTCATTCGTCTGGAAGTGTGTAACGTCGTGCCTATCCGATCTGCTCGCGCCTGGCACCTCATTCTCGGACACGACTCTTGTCCCCATAAAGCGAACATCGTCTGCTCTGCCGCCTCCAGCCGCAGCGCATCGCTCCATCGCCAATCGTTCATCCCGTTCGCGCGCGGTCCTTCGTACTATTTTTTCTCTCTTTCTCTTTCCTCGTCTTTGCTAACGAGTTCCCCTCCTCCAATCAGGAGGCAACAAGAGAGAGGGTGCGAGTATACGTGCGCGGTGCGCGTCCCGTGTAGTGTACATCTAACATCATCCCGCTTTGATTGTGTGTACCGTTGGTGCGCGCCGTTTATTCCGTAATCTCCATTCTCCGTGGCCGTGCGTGTGAACTCGCGCGTGTGCGTGCGCGCGCGCGCGCGTGTGCGTGTGTGTGTGTGGCGTGTGCGGGAGGGGGGGGTTACGTGCGTGCAACGAGCGAACCAAGATGGCCGCTGATTCAGGAATGGAGACGTGTCCCTCCCCGGAGATTGCGGACTCCAGAAAGCGACCGCTCGACTGCGATGCCGAGAACGGCGCGACCAAGAGATCACACTACGGATCAGGTATTTTCGATCGGGCGTCGTCGACGCCGCGCGTCAACATCGCGTCAGCGTCGCCATCGCAAAATTGTGGCAATTTCACTCCTTCGCTCGACGTCGCCGACATCGGAGCCTGGTTACTCCTCTCCTCTCCTCCACTCCTCCTCTCCTCTCCTCTCCTCTCCTCTCCTCTCCTCTCCTCTCCTCCTCTCCTCTCCTCTCACGCATTTTCACGCGTATTCACCTATCGTTCATCGGTTCATGCAATATGCAATAGACTGAATAAACGATACGTAGCGGTCCCTCTATCTCCCTGTCTATTTCTCTCTCTCCTTTCACGCACGTCTTTGACAATCCTGTCGTCATCTTTGTCGCGCTCTATTGATACAGCGCGAATCCGTTCCCTTTCGTTTCCCATTTTGTCGGTTCTCGTCGGTGACTCGTTTCTCATCGGCCGTACGTGTCACGAACACGATGCACAGCGCCTCGCCTCGCATATCCTCGCCCGTGCCACGTCTCTTTCCGCCTGCATCGTCCCGTTTTTCTTCTCTCTCTTTCTCTCTCTCCCTCTCCCTCCCTCCTCTTTCCCTCCCACCCCCTTGTCTTTCTATCTCTCTCTTCTCGTGTATTCTATCCTCTTCGATCCTCTCCGATCTACGATATCACGCGTGCGAACACGTTCAAGTTCGACGACAAATCAGCAGGATCAGTCAGTGGGAAACGATGTTTTGAATTTTGACGTTCCATCCGCGCGACATTCTTCACTTCCTTCGTCTCTCTCTCTCTCTCTCTCTCTCTCCCTCCCTCTCCCCCTCCTCTTTCTCCGTCTCTCTTTATTTCTCTCATGCTCTCGCTCTCCTTCGACTACGTGTGGGCGGTCGTGCCTGTGGAGCATCGTTAATGGAGGACCGCTTCCACGGCGGTGACTGCTCCTACGGTGACTCTGCAACTTTGTCGCGCGAGCATCGTGGAAATAGTGGCGTACATTTCCGCCGCGCCGTTCTTGTCATCGTTGCCGTGCATTATACGCGCGCACCTGTCACAGCAGCACTTGGTGCTCCGTTCCGTTCCGTTCCGTGCATCCGTAACGCGGTGCCACCGTTGTCGTCGTCGTCGTCGTCGTTGTCGTCATCGTCGTCGTCGTTATCGTTATCGTTATCGTTATTGTCATCGTCGAGAAGCCGCCACCGCCACTGCCATCCGCGCACAGAATGACGGCGCCCACTAGGATGTGGCGCATCGGTGAGTGAGTTTGTCACGCACGCACGCACCCACCTCGCGTCTCTCTGCTTCTCCGAAGAGGTTGATGGGTCAAGGTCGTCGGGCCAGTCAGCCAGCCAGCCAGCGAGCGAGCGAGGCCGAGCCGAGCCGAGCCAACGCGCAGGGCCTCCATCTGTCAAACAGCTGTTTGACTTCCGTACATCCAACTTCCTGCTGTGCATCGTCCCTTTCGCTCCTATCGCATCGATCTTCGTTTGTCTAAAAAAAACGAAATAAAGTTGGTTAATCGAAACTCTACCGGGTCTCCACATTTTCGTTAAATCACGTCCGTTAAATCACGTCCGTTAAATCGATCCTTTTGCCGTGACATCCATTTAAAATTGAATGTCCTTAGTCAGAACTGATTACTGTTCGTTTTGATTTATAGTTTTTTCTTTATATATGTGTATATTTATAAAAGCGCGATGATTTATACGCATATTCATTCGCTGTCTTTCTCTATCTCTGTTTTTCCTTCATGTCATGTGATGCGATTACGATTTAAATGGCAATCTTCCAGCGAAACTAATTAACTAAAATCATTGTTGTGACTGATTCTTTTCGTTTTAGATTAGTTGTCTTCGATTTGCAACCCGAGTTGCGAATTGTATCCCTTTTGATCCGACCGTACTGAAATTAGTTACCATTAACCGTTATAAATTCGTTTTTGTTTTTATGATATAATCGAGTGTACCATTTAGAAAGATATATGTGTGAGAAAAGATTTCATTAATTTAGAACTATTCAGGATGGATACTTTTGGCTTGAAATTGAAATGTACCAGTGTGTGTGTGTGTGTGTGTGTGTGTGTGTGTGTTATGCCTATTTCAATTCCTATTTCTCACTTCATTGCTGTTTTGTCACCATGTTTAAAAATATTTTATTACTAATATTATAAGGTACCATTATTCATTTAACTATAAAAATATGTGATTTATATATACAGGGTGTCCCGTAAGTTTTTGCCAACCTCTTTTGTGTAGATAGAGCGGACTAAACTGAGTCGAAAAGTCTCTAGCATTTTGCAATTTTTGCAATAGTTAACAAAACATTAATTAAATAAATGTTAATATGGCTCAATTAGAATAAATCAATAAATATTGCCGAATATTGATTTTCAATAATTTTTTACTCAAATACTATCAATTTTACAGAAAAACAAGTGACAAAAATTATTTATTTTTTTCTCATAGAATTCTGAGAATTTTTTCAGAATTTTTTAGTACCGCATATTTTCTCACGTTGGTAAAAATAGTTGCCAATAAGAACATGCAGTACTAAAAAGTTGATAAAAAATTCTGAAAAAATTCTTGGAGCTCTATGAGAAGAAAATAAACAATTTTTGTGAATAAAATTTCAATCGGGAGAATGTATAATAAGCGTGAGGAATCCCGTGGCATGCTACGCTTCTGCGTACTCCGGCTGCGCGCTATCTGATTCAACTTTAATTGTTAATAACTCGGTAAATAATGGTCTGCGCCAAAAGTGGGAAAGGAACTTTTAGTTGAAAATTTCATTCTCTTTTACTCCAAGAAATATTTATTAAAAGTTATGGGACACCCTGTATACATGTGTATACATATACAATTCCTATATTATAATTAAATATATTATGAATAGTAGAATCTTATAATATTAGCAATAGAATACTTTTAAACATAGTGAATGATACAAATCAAAAACTTTTAACAATTTCCAACTATTGTTATAAGCATGAATACCTTGATGAATACCTACACGTTTCAATTTGAAAAGTACCCTTTTTGGACAGCTCTGCATTAATTGGCTGCACTAAAATAACGTAAAAAAAAAACGCCCAAGAAAGCGAATGATTTCGAGTGAAGTTATCTAATTGCATCAAAATCACTGATGCAATTGTACGATACGTCTTATTCATACTCGATTTTAATGGATACCCAGTTGTACGTTAACCTTTTTCGTAGATAATTTTCCTCGATACATTTTTTCTAAATTACATAAATCGATATACCGTTGATCACGAAAGATTAATTGCAATCATCTCGGTCTTCTTTTTGTTATATCTCTTTTTTTGTTGTACTCACTCATATGCATTATAAGCCGTTCCATCGCGACAAGGTGGAGATTATCGGGTATGTGTGAAGTTAACGTTTCACTTGGTGGAAACTCATAAAATATTGAAAATTCTGAGTCTATTTTCAATAGTTCTATAGGTTAAATAAATAGTTCGACCATTAAAGCTGAGAAACCGAAAATGTAAAATGAGACGCCTGTTTCGCACAGCGGCAACTTTGTCTAACGAAGGTTCCAGCCATATTTTCTTATAAGATTTAAAAAGATACATAGTTTTAAAGAGAGTGCTGACGATTAGTTTTTTACCTGGTTTATTTTACTGTAGTGTATTTAAGAAAGATTTGAGGTCTAAACACAAGTATGAATAAAATAATGCGTACAGTATATACAATGTTAAATAAAAAAATACAATGTTAAAATAAAATTTATTAGCATTTTTCGCTGTATTGTTTTTACTGATTTTTTCTGTAATGCCCTGATCTTGACAACGCCGCCCAAGGTCGATAGTTCTACTTTATGTGCTCCTCGAAATCACAAAACTTTTGTCTGAACATATTTTTCATTTAACACATACTTTCAGAGATAATAGCTTGTAACACTTTACGTGGGTCACATTGTGTATATAGCGGGTATTCAAAATAAAGCATTACAAATTTTTATCTCTGAAACAAAGCATTTTAGAAAAAAACATTTCAAAAGTTTTGTAACTTCGAGGACATGAGATGATATCATTGGTTTGAGCTTGAATGGCGTTGTCAAAGTCAGAGAAAAGTCACATAAAATTTTTTAAATGAAACTCCTCATTTTTAATTACATGTTCGTACAGCTTACCTCGAAAGCTTTCCAAAACACTATTATGAAATATTTTTTTAATGTTTTGAAAAGCTCTTGATTCTGGTATCAAAAATAGGGTGTTCCATTAAAAAAAAATCGATTTGACCTTGACTTGACCTTGACGACGCTATCCAAGGTCAAACTAATAAGATCTGTTAATAGATGAATAGAATTTTGTTCAGAATCATGACCTGGATAACATTTGTCAAGATCAAGACCGTTGGACGTTGTACCTTTTATTTTCATTTTACACTGAAAATTCATTTTTACATAAAAATACATGGTTTTATTCATATTTCGCTGCGTAATATACAGAATATTCCAAAATTCACGCACACGAAACAATCGCGTGGTAATATACGCCACTAAGCTTATAGTTGCTAACAATGACTGCGTTCAGCAGAAAAAACTAATCAGTGCGCTTAACGATTTTTTAATATGATTTGTTCTTACCTTTAGTTCTTTGCTGGGTCTAAAGTATAGGAATCAATCATATTGAAGAATCACCAAGCGCTCTAACTGATTAGTTTTCTCTGCTGAACGCAGCTAATAAATGCGCGAGTTGTTAACTACAAGCAGCAATGGCAACGCACGAGTGACGAAAGAAACATCTCCCCGTTCTGGACGGTTGTATCTCGCTCGTCTCGCCGCGTGCTTGAGCTTGGCGGTATCTCAGGCGAATATGCGCTCGTTTGGATATTCTTAGAAACTAATATCTCATACTATTGCGAAAATTGCAAAATGATATAAGATTTTTAACTCATTGTGTTAGTTTAATTTGTTTTATCTGCTCATAAGCGGTGTTCCATCTACAGTCCAAGTATAAATAGACTGCCGACTTGGCCTCCATGTTTGAAGACAGCGCTGGGCAGCGCCATACTTGTGTTCACTCACTCTCATATGTATAAATTACACGGATAATGACGTTGATGTTTTCATATAAATTCACGCGATATTCACAAACGGGACGCATACGTACGCATATATGAACTGAAACAAGAACTCGGAATCAGGTTCATCTCTTTCTATGGGTGCTCAGTGAGCGGTCGTCGCTTCTGAATGCACCCTATCACATTGAGTCAGCAGTTTAGTTATAGAAGTCTGTGGTCCATCTAATGTCTATATTCTGTATAAGACATGATTAAAAGAATGGTTTGTTTTGTTTTTACAGGAGGAGATGGAACGTATCACCTCAAAGTGTTGGTTCCCGGTGTGGCAGCCGGGGCCATTATCGGGAAAGGTGGAGATACAATTGCTCAACTTCAAAAGGATACAGGGGCAAGAGTGAAGATGTCTAAATCGCACGATTTTTATCCAGGTATACATTTAGCTTTCAGTGCACGCGTGTTCTCGCGGCTGCCTTTATTCGATTAATTACCGTTTCATTTGTCTATTACAGGAACTACTGAGAGAGTATGCCTTATCACAGGCACCGTAGATGCTATTATGGAGGTCATGGAGTTCATCATGGACAAAATACGCGAGAAGCCTGATCTTACTTCGAAAACTACGGTTGACTTTGACTCTGGTAAAGCCACCGCGGAGAGGGACAAGCAGGTATAAGATTGAAATATTTTCACCGTAAATTTTTTTTTCTATTTTCTATCAAAACATTTTACATATAGGGGATGTATGTATATTTTTAAAGAAATACGAATTTATTAATAATTGTTTCTTATATAAAAGTAATATGATTTAAAAATAATTAGACTTTGAAATACCTTTTTTTTTTAGGCATTATATATTTAGAATATCTTCTAAAAATAATGCGAATTTGTTATTCTCAAGATTATTAATAATTTTTTATAGTACATATGTTAATATATTATTAGTAATTTTTTTCGTGGGAAACAGTGGCTCTAATAATATTTACTTAAAAAATACGAAACTTAAACAAATATTGTACGCGCGAATGACAGAGGTCTGATCTGAATTGCTATTTCAGGTTAAAATTTTAGTGCCTAATAGCACTGCAGGGATGATAATAGGAAAAGCTGGGAATTACATTAAACAAATTAAAGAAGAATCTGGCTCGTACGTTCAAATCAGTCAGAAGGCTAAGGACTTGTCCCTTCAGGAGCGATGTATAACGGTGATTGGTGAGAAAGAAAATAATCATAGGGCGTTACACATGATCTTAGCGAAAGTGGCGGATGATCCACAAAGTGGTACCTGCCTTAACGTTAGTTACGCAGATGTAAGTGGTCCCGTTGCCAATTACAATCCTACAGGCAGCCCATATGCTCAAGCTCCCACAAGCACTCCCACGTATACATCTACAGCTGGTCTAAATACAGGTTAGTTAAGGAGTTTTTTTAATAATGCAATAAGGTATTTCCTATGCGATGAATACATTTGATTGTTATTATAGGGCGTTTTCCATTATAAGAGATTATTGATAGATATCTAATAATATTCATAGCTGTAAGAAGGCTATAAGCATGCTTTTCCTTAATTTTTACTATTTAATCTCTTCAGTCACTTTGGTGAGAATTTTTTTTAGAATTCTACGCATAATTTTTTAGAATTTTGATATAATTTTATAAGTTTTTAAAAAAATTTTTTAGATTTTTTGTACGAATTGTAATACTTTTTAGAAATGTTGAAAAAGCCTACATTTTTTTAGAATTTTTTGTACTTTACCGGAAATTGAAATTGCAACATTTAGAAAGAAGTATCATTTTGGAATCAAAATTTATAGATATGTTGGAGAGGACAATGTGAATAAATGATTAAGCACAATAACTAAGAAATAATATCTGTACCGGTCGAAGAAAAAAATAATATCTAGTCCGGACTGTGCAACTTTATGGCGTAGCTCGAAATTGAGCTTTATGTGATATCAATCAGAAGTCTTTTCTGTCAGTTGAGACAACATTAAACTATTATGAGCCGGTTTTTTATTTGTGTTAACTTGTGGTTAGGTTTAACCTGATATTTTATCCCCCCAATGGGCTTCATCTATAATGATGTCATGGATAAAGCCCATTGGATAAAATATCAGGTTAAGCTTAACCACAAGTTAACCAGATAATGAAAAACATCCAACAGTGTGAACATTGTATCCAACAGATGTCTATCATCCTGTATCATCCTGTAGTATGCTTTTTAAGCTTGTTCATTTGTTCATAAAGCAGAGAAAGTGAAGCTGTAGGTATCATCTTCAAAACTGCAGACGATACCACAGTTCTTGTGGGTCAAGGATTACTTAACGTGGATTTCTGAAACTTTAATAATTTGTTTATATAATTCCCACAAATGATATATAGAGTTTCGTTCTAATCAAAAGTCTACTTTTTGATGTTGCAGTTTCAATTTCCGACACTAACATGGCAATAAAATTTGGTGAATGTTATAAGAAAATAAACACCACTTAATTAATATACGATGACCGTTATTGTCCTTCAGAATCCCCGAGGAACAATACACTTTTGATAACGTTCGTACAGTTTGCAAAAACTGTATGAAAAGTTATCTTTGGATCGATTGTGTTCTCATCTTTGGATATTGGTTTAAATCTTGTCATACGGTACTGATTCGAAACGTGCACGGCAATTTTTGAATTAACATTATATTGATTTGAATCATTCTCCTGACTTCCCCAATCTTGCTCCCGCAGACTCTTTTTGTTCCTTAAACTAAAGAACGATGAAAAGAACTCGATTAATAAATATTTTGGACATTTAGAATCGTGTTTTTGACAACAAGACTTAAGGCGATATTCAAAAATGATTTTCACAGTTTCCGCAAGCTGTATGACCGTTATGAAAAGTTGTCTCTAGGGAGAATTACTTTACAGGATAATAAGGCCATTTGTATATTATCTAAGTGATGTTTATTTTCTCATACATTTACCGAACTTTATTGCCACACGTATACATATTGTATGTGAATTCTGAAATATTTTAAAATTTCTAAGATTTCTCATTCTATAATTTCCAAAGAAAACTTAGCACACGTGTTTAGTTTTTCTTTCTTTAATTCTAACACGTTTACTTATGACAAAGAAAAAATGAGTAATCATCACAATATTTTTAATTTTTTCTTCTTTTTTTTCTTTATTGTTGTAGATTTAAATTGAATGAAATGTAATTAAACGAAAAATTAAATTATTTTTTCTAACTTTACAACTTTATTTCTGAAGGAATTAAATAATTGCTGAAGGAAACTTGCAGTGTTCTCTAATTAAATGAATAAACGAAACTATTTTTATACATTTTTATAAAGCAATTTAAGACTTTGTTTATCGATATATGTGAGCATGGAAAAGAAATCGCATCTTTCCAAATCTGTTCACTTCAGTCAATTAATTCGTCAAACTTGAACATCTATCAAATCTTTTTATGATTTAACGAAATCCTCATTGTCTGCCATTTGTAATTAATAAATACAATTATTGCCTATTTCTTTTATAGTGAGTCTCTTAAATGGCGCTGGTTTGAGTCTTAATCTAAATCTGGGCGCGGCTATCACCGCTGGCACGGCGCCGGTGACGACGCAGCTGTTGGAACACATAAAATTGAATCTACGTACGACAGGTTTCTCCGAGCCTGCTGCAACGGAGATACTTGCTGCGATCGCGACCCTCGCTAAGTACAATATCCTCGGAATGGGGATCGGGATGCCGTCGAGTATGAGCTATTTGGGTAATCCGATGGACAGTACGACAACTGCTAACGGCTCGAACAACAACGGCGGTGTATTCGGACCGATCGGAACCGTTCCTGCGCTCGGGTCTACCTCGCCAACTCCGCGCAACACCCTCGATCGGTACGAGCCATTTGATCCATTCCGACAGAACAACACCGCCGCCAGTGCAATACACCTGAACAACAATTCATTCGGCCTGGGCACTAACCAGTTATCACTTGTAAGTAAGAGTCCTACACAGGTAGACGCCAACAACAAGGAGACCAAGAAAGTAGACATAGAAATTGCAGAGGTTATAGTGGGAGCTATTCTGGGACCCGGTGGTCGTGCCCTCATTGAGATTCAGCACTTAAGTGGCGCCAACATACAAATCTCTAAGAAGGGCATGTTCGCCCCTGGTACCAGGAACCGCATAGTGACTATCACGGGTTATCCCAATGCAATCAACACTGCTCAGTACTTGATCGAGCAGAGGATCAGTGAAGAGGAAGCAAAACGAGCGCGTCAGAATGCCATCGCCAGTATGATCCATTGATTTCAAGTATAGCACTCCTCTTGTTCATCGCCATTATTGAGCTCCGTTGTTCACCTCTTCATATCTTGAGAAAGGAGAACACACCCGGCCACGACGGTTTTCTTCTTTCCTCTACTTTTGACACACACACACACACACACACACACACACACACACACACACACACACAC